GTCCTGGAGTCTTTTTGTGTATCTGCTACAAAGAGAACATTTTAACGTATTTTAAATAAGAATGGCAATGACAGTGTTGATACATTAAAAAATATGTTCAGGGGCGCCTGGGTGCCTCAGTCAGTTGAGCTTCTCCCTTCTGCTCAGACCATAATCTCAGCATCCTGCGATCGGGCCCTGAGTCGGGCTCACCACTTAGCAGCGAGTCTGTTCTCCCTCTACCTCTGCCCCTCCCACCCTGCTCATGTTCTCTCTCTCTCTCTCTCTCTCTCTCTCAAAATCTTAAAGAATATATATGTTCAGGGGTGCCGGGGTGGCTCAGTGGGTTAAAGCCTCTGCCTCGACCTGAGGCCATGATCTCAAGGTCCTGGGATGGAGCCCCACATCGGGCTCCCTGCTTGGCAGGAAGCCTGCTTTCCTCCGCCACTCCCCCTACTTGTGTTCCTGCTCTCGCTATCGCTATGTCAAATAAATAAAATCTTTAAAATAAATAAAATATATATATATATGTTCAGATCGGAAGGCCCATATAACTGTTTCATTTGACTAGACAAAACAGGACATCTATGACCTCAGACTGACCAGCAAACAAACAACAATGTCTAGGTTAACCCTTTAAATAGAAATACCAATATTTTCATGGTAACATTTTAAGAGAAATTGAGGGGCGAAGATGTAGCACTTCAAGCCATAGACGGAAAAGAGGCGGGGCAAGTGTCATACTCTTCTCACCAGATCAAGTCCCAGAAGGACCGCACCAGGATGGGCTGTGGGTACAGCAAGGCGATCGTGGGCACGGAGGCCTGTGGACTCTTTTTTTAAACCAATCGCAGAGAGCAACAGTAAAGAACAGCACAGAATCTGACCCCAAGACCGGACTTCAGTCCTCAGTAATCTGACCCTCTCAAGCCACGAACCAGGAAACCCAGGCCCACAGGTTTCCGCAGCTCAAACAAAAAGGCCAGGACGGCAAAGCCTCCAGACTATGGAGTCCCAGGGCAAGACGCAAGCCTGTTTTTGTCATCAGTGTTAACATCTCCTTAAGTATCCACTTTTTTAGATAATAAACCTTAAAATTAGTAACTTTATCAAAGATGTTTCTTCAGGACCGAGAAGGTACAGCCATCAACCAGCGCCGCACCGCGTCCCTTCACGCCACCACCGGATTCCCGCGCAGACGCGGCATCCTGGACAAGCGCCGAGCACGAGAGTCCTCCCCACGGCCACTTTCCCGGTGTCCCGCTCATGACGAAACTACCCGAACGCTCCGGGACGCCGTTTTATCACCTGTACGACCGCCGCAGAGACCACGTGACGGGCAGACCGTCGTGAACCCTAAATTCTGGGAGGAAAATGGAAATGGGAAGCTCTGTCGTCGTCACCAGCTCGGAGACGCCCGAACACCAGGACGAAGACGGGGGTGTAACCTGACATTCGGACGGGGATGTAATGCGACATTAGGGTCACCCGGGTCGCTCGGGCTGTTGAGCATCGGGCTGCGTGTGCCTTCGGCTCAGGTCGTCAGAGTCTGGGGGTCCTGGGATCAAGACCCACGGCCGGCTCCCGGCTTGGCGAGGCTGCGGCTCCCTCGCCCTCTGCCCCTCCCCCAACTCGTGCTTTCTCTTTCCCTCGCAAATAAGCAAATAAAGTCTTATTTTAAAAAATAAATAAATAGATACCTAGAGAACAATGTAAGGCTATCAAACAAGTACTTACATTTTAGCAAGTGTGGTGATTAAAAAAAAAAAAGGAAGCGAATAGAGACCAAAGACTTTTTGCAGCAACAAACAAACAAGCAGAGGCGTGGGGCGAGGCACTTACTGGGTCAGCCGGGCCCAGCCGGGTGGGCCCGTGGAGCCGCTCGGGCCGCTGGAAAGGCCAGAGCTGAGGGGCGCTCGCGCTCGACGAGGCGGCTGTCGGCGGCCGGGACGAAGGAGTAGGCGTCGGGAGACCCTACGGGGTCGCTGAGGGAAACTGCGGCCGGACAACGCCCTGGGGCCAACCTGCATGGTCTCAGGTAGAGACCCCGGGAGGTCGCAGGGCCGCGGCACGAGGGAGTAAAACCAGCCCCTAGCAACGAGCCCTCTGGCAGTCAGGAGTGCGGTGGCTTCGGTTAAGAATAAAACTCCTGCGGCAGGTGGAGAGCGTGGCCAACAGCAGCTCAAGGGCCGCAGGAGTCGATGGCGGCCTGAAACTGGAGGGCGAGCGGGTCGGCTTCTCGCCCCAGCCCCACGGACCATCTTCCAGGCCTGGCCGCAGGCGCGGTCAGAGGCTGCACCCGGAGGGCCTCACGGGGGAGGCCGCCCCCCACGCCGGGCCGGGGCACAGCCAGCGCGCTGCGTCCTTGCAGGGGAGCTGCCCTCGAGGACGCGGCTCCCCGGCCAGCCCTGCTTTTCTGCATATCTGCGCATCTAACCCAAGCCCTTCCCTCCGGAGGCCTCTTTATCCAAGGCTTCCCACCGAGGCCTTGCTCGGGCACCTCTGGGGGCGAGGGGGCGCTGGAAGATACTTTTTTCCACCCTGACGCGAGTCCCCACCTATCCTCCCTGCGTCCTGCAGGTGCTCTCCCTCTCCCGGCTTTTCTGGGCTCCCAAAATGGCGGGAGTCTCTGGTGCAGGGCTTCCTCGGAAAGGAGACAGCGCCCCCTCCTGTCTGGGATGCCACCTCGCCTTTCTCCCGTGCCGGGCCGTGCGGGAGGTTTTCCTGTTGCTTCTGCTCGCTCAGAAAGCGATGAAAGGCTTGCCTGGTACTTTTGTTTTGGCTTGTTGTCTTAATTGACTACTCCAACACCTGGCAGCTCAGTTCTTGACAGGTGGCGGCGGGAATTAAAAAGACGTCGAACCTAGAAGAGACCCTAGTTCTGATTGCCATTTTTGTAAGCAAATTTCTTACATTCTCTGTCACCAGAAATGTAAACTGTGTTTGCAAAACATTTAGAGAAGGCTTATTAAAATATGAAAATTAGTTTTCAATTCTTTAAACAATGATGATAGCAGTATTTCAAATGAAGGATAAATTTCAAAGTTATATACAGTATACTAAAAACCCTTATTTCCTGGTGTGGACGAATCTAAACAAAATTTTCACATCACTAGCATTTGTAATACAAATTGAAAAGTCCAAAGATCTCTCAATTACTGCATTTCAGAAACGGCATTGAAAAAAATAAATAAACCATGGGGAATCTGCCGTCTCCTACAACTTTAACAACGAGGGGATCCCTGACGTCTATTGGAAAGTAGGGATGTGGGAAAATGAGAAGAGGGGGATTTATTTACCTCCATTGTACCCATCTCTGGAATTGAATATGCAAGTGCATACAAAAATCAGGGTGTGTGGATACCTTGGTCACTGTTGTGTCTTTCAGTGGGAATACTGGGGCAGAGCGATTGCCAGAGCAGCTCATCAATCAGTGTTTCTCCAAGGCCGGGAGCTCATTACTACAACCTCCTCCCAGGGAGCATGCATCTCTCCCTCTTCTGCTCTATTCTGCATTTTCGTCCTGTCCCCTACCCCCACCATTACCCCGTCTGCAGGTTTGCCTTGTCCTTCCTATGTTATGGGCTGCTCACTTTCCCACATGGCCAGAGTTAGATAACTGAATATGTACTCAATCCTATAATGGACCAAGTGTGAATAAAGGAGGGACAAGAGTGGTGCCCTCTTCTACCTTGTGAATTCTGATGTGTGCATCAATAATGCCACATTTACATCCTACTGAAGACCTTGAGGAGAAGGTCTTTTTTGCTATGTTATGAAACTCTCTGCATGTAAGATTTTCAAAATATAATAGCATTTTTTACTACTCAAACTATTAAACTGTACTATGGCTCATAAAGCTGTTAAAGAGTTGTTTCATATCAAACTTTGTTTCTTTTTTCCTAATTTGATGAGTTGGGCATCTTTTTTTCCATTGTCTCCTGATGAATAACTACTATTTACATACAGTACCTGAAAACTGGCTTGTTGTATTTAAAAGCTGTATAATTGATAATAGCAGCCAAAGAATTCTCAAGAAGTAAAACGAAGAGAAACTGAGTGTTTTTTGTTTTTTTTTTTTCCTGCCTGCAAAGGGCCTGTGGACAGTGAGGATCTCCGTGAAGGACCGAAGCAGGTTACACTATGATCCCCTGGAAAACTCAGTGCCCCTCCATCAGGAAGAGCCACCAGATACGAGCATAAATGCCTATATTGGAATATAGCAGCCAGGGGCACCTGGGTGGCTCAGCCAGTGAAGCTTCTGCCTTCGGCTCAGGTCATGATCCTGGGGTCCTGGGATTGAGTCCTGCACCAGGATATCTGCTCAGCAGGGAGCCTGCTTCTCCCTCTCCCCCTGCGGCTCCCCCTGCTATGCTCTCTCTGTCGAATAAGTAAATAAAATCTTTAAAAAAATAAAAATTAAAGAAAATAGAGCAGTCAGTCCAACTGTTTCAATGAACCAGTTTGAAGCATAGGAGTCAAACAGAGGCTTACAGAGAGATTATCAGTTTCCCATAATAAATTCAGGATTTGCTGAGAAAGACAGACTGGCAATATTACTCCCTTTAATGAACATACTCTTTGAGGATAAATCACTAATCCCTATTAAAAGGAGAAAGTAGATTTAAAACACAAAGTTTGAGAAAGATCTAAGGATACATGAACTTCTGCATGTAATACATTTTCTGTTAAGGAGACAATCCCTCACTTTTAGAAATGGGGGGAAACTTACCTCATATAAATTAAACTTGTTTTACTCTGATTTTATAAAATCTGCCCTTAACTAACAAGCCTGATGCCAGCACCAATGGCTAGATATAATGACTGTTTGATACTGTTGCAGGAATGATTTAAAAGTGCATTGTTAGGCACACATTGGCACAAATATGCACCACAAACTGGAGGGCTTTTTTTATTCTAAACTATAGAATGAAATCACAACCTCACATCGACATCAAGGAGTGATTTGCCTTCTCTTGTGTATATACAAATTATTTTACCACAAAGTTAAATTCCCCGCCTGCCTTCCCTGTTTTCTCATTTATCACCCAGATATACATTTTGGAAACTGAGATGGAGATTTTTTTTTTTTTTTATTAAGTGAGAAAATAAAAATTCGTCATTGCTTGAGTACAAAATGCCTCCAGCTCCTGGTAGGTTAATGGGGAGGATTATTATCGTTACAGTTCAACAAACATGTCACTTTGACATAACGCAAGGTGATTTCTCTTCAGTGGATCCTGGGCAGGTGACACGAAGCAAAGCCGAACCAAAGAGAATGACTGACATCTGCTGGATGACAGGAGAAATGAAAAGAAAAAAATTCAAGTTTATAAATGCTCACAGTTAACCGTTCGGGAATCCATCCATGTCAACAATCTGGAACATAACAAGGCTGGTGTAAATCCTCAGGAACAAAAACGTCTGTCTCAGCGATGTCACATGACGCCAGGTCCAACCAAGGTGTTTCAGACCCAGGGCAGGTACACGACCTCTATAACCACTGAGTTTCTGTTACCTGCAACTTTCTGTACCTTATGGTTGATTTCTGTTATCTATGGGTTCCCATCAGCTTGATTCTGCCTAGTCTGTGCAATCAATCAAATGAGATTTGCAAAGCCAGGATGAAGAAATTAATCAGAATCAATCATTAGAACAGTCAAAATGCAACCTAGTTCCCTATTGGACAGATCCCTGACATCAGACTTTGCTCTCATCTGTTGCTTAAATTGGGCTCTTAAACTTATTTTCCATTTTATTTTATTTTTAAAGATTTTATTTATTCGTCAGAAAGAGAAGTGTGCACGCAGGCAGGGAGAGTGGCAGAGGCAGAGGGAGAGGGAAAACCAGGCTCCCTGCTGAGCAGGGAGCCGGACGTGGGGCTTGATCCCAGGACCCTGAGATCATGACCTGAGCTGAAGGCAGAGGCTTAACCAACTGAGTTATCCAGTTGCCCCAAACTTATTTTCCATTTTAAAAATGATTTCTTAATGAAAAGAGGGGATGGTTATTGAAAGCCTACCATGTTATTTCTTTTTGGCCGCACTACACTTCCCCGAAGTAGGTATTGACATTTAACTTCTCTCATAGAGAAGCTGGGGCAGAGAGGTGCCGCACCTTGTCCAAGGTTACCCAGGTTGTAGGCACAGGAGCTGTAATGAGCCCTCCAGTTCCACCTGCCCACAAGATCTGTGCTTCTCACTGGACAACCGATTCTAGGGACATGGCTGGTCTGTATCTTTCAGCTCCGGGACCATTTCATGCCACTCTTTAACTGTGCAACTTTTATTAAACAGGAATTGTCCATAAACACTGACTGAGACCCTGATTCTTTACTCATAATCTGGTTCTGCATTTGGACACTGTCTAGGAGCAAACATTTTGTAGAAGAGCGCCCGCCCTGTGGGACTGTGCTCAAGAAGGAGACAAGAAAGCCCATCGCTCCTTCCACTCCCAAGGACACTTTAAAATGGGCTCTGGATCCTCGGTTGCTTTGCTTGTACGATGACTGAGATGGATTAGGTCATTCCTAGGACTCCTTCCAGCTGCGTACTCACAGCAAAGAAAAACAGGGAGAGCTGCCAGGCTCCTTGTTATTCTGGAATAACACTCAGACAATCAGTAGATACCGTATGCCCCATTCAGCGATTGCAACCAGTGCTATTTATTGTTCAGAATTTTGTTTTTGTTATAATGTCTTTTGACAATTGAAGTGAAACTAAGTACTCAGAGGTAGTCTATTCTTACATACAAACATAGCCACTCAAGAGGTTTTCTTGCCTGGTTTAAAAAAAAAATTGAAAGGTGGAGCCAATAGTCTTTCAAGTGGTTTGAAAATGTTTCTTTCACCCAGGAAGGAAAATAGCTATGATACCACCTTACAACACATGTAAAGATCACAAAAAAATGTATTTGATGGTAAAAAGATAATTTCTATAAATTACAATAAAAATACCACATATAATAAAAATACCGGCTCACAAAAAGTAAACAGTGTTTTCAAGTTTCCAGAGGCTAAAAATTTTTATTATTTTACTTTCTAAATGGGTAACAGTGGTCTGGACATGTTTTTGGTATTAACGTAGGAGAGAAAAGTAACACAATGTAAATGTCTTCTCCGTAATAGCCAAATTCCTGCATGAAAATGGACAGCAGGTTCAATCTTAAACTCAAATAGCACCATCTAGTGGAAATCCATCAAAAATGCTGCTTTTCTTCTGCTCTCCCCTCCAACCCCTGACAGTAACTAACCCAGTGGTCAAGGAGTTGAGGGAATTTCCATGCAGTAAGTACTTTTGGGGGGGGGGGTGTCAAAAATGTTACTAGCTTAAGAATAACTTAAACTTACTTATGAAATATACTGAACAAACTGAATGCTATAAAAAGAAATATCTGTGAGATTGTTCTTAACACTCTCATACAAGATACTGTTAAATGTTCTTGCAAGGAGTTAAATTTTATGTGTGTCCGACAGAAAACGGAACCCACTGTTACAACTACCTTTCTCCTTCTTGCGATTTCTACCACTGCGGTTTTCGGAATCATCCAGGACACCTGGCTCCTGCCGGCCTCACTTCCCTCTGGCTCCAACCTTGCTTCTATATTAAAAACAAGTCCCTCCTATTCAGTGTGGTTCTCAAATTCTCTTCTAAGCTAATTCTTGGAAGTCGTAAGACCAAATTAGTGAAGATAAATCACTAGCTTCTTGATAAAGTGGCACCAGACAGAACAGCCCCACCAGACAGGAACAGATTCTTCCTTATCCCTGACAACAACCATGGCCAAGGTTAAGGAGAATACAGATCTATGGGACTTTCAGTTTCAGACCTGAAAGTTGTACTGAGAGCTTTGTACTGCCCTCCAGGTACAGATTGCAAATAATTCTCCTGCTCGGATTACAAAACTCACGGCCCCTTCCACTGTCTTGGACCCCCTCGGATTATGAGTAAAAAATAAATATGTGTTGTTACTGAGCACTGAAATTTGGGGATACTTTGTATCTTGGCATAATCCAAACAGCCCCAATGGAAATAAGGAGTTAAATGTAAAATAAATACGGCAACTCCTAAGTCCACTGAGCTGGGGAAACAGAAATACATTTTCACGGGCTGAAAGCACGTAAGTAAGGGATTGTCCTGTCTCTGTGCACGTGGAATTCTCTTTCCTGAGGAAACTGTGTATGTTGAATGTGCCTGTCATTTTCTGACACGTTGATCCAACAAAGGCGTCAGAGTCAAAGGATATTTAAACTCTCTGACCTCACACTCCTGCCTTGCTTCACTGTGGATCTGCAACCATTATTTCTGCTTCATAATTAAGATAAATATTCTCAGTCGGAAGAATAACTCCCCCACCCCAGCATGTGTGTCCAATGGTAGAGGATCTCAAAAGGGCCAGGTTGCTCTTTCAACTTTCAGTTCAACAGAATCATCTTTTTTGCGGGACAGAGTGAAAAGTTGTGGGTTGAAGGGTCCCCTGGAGAGTAGGACCTTTAGTGTAGCACAGCCTAAGTCATGAGGACAGAGATGAGAAGGACAAGACATACCAGTGGGTCATGAGATCACTCCCATTCCCACTTCATTCCTAGACCCTGAACCAGCACTGAATGCTGGTTCTGCGTATGTTTTATATCCTACCAGAAAGTACCACCAACTTGCAAATGTTCTATGTCAGGCAGCTCAACAAATTAGCCCTCATAAAGCCATACTACCATTAAAAGTGACCGACTATTCTAGATAAACATATTTTATTCCACAAAAATCGGCCTTACTTCTTTTGCGGTAAAACAATTTCCTCATTCAGAAATAGTGTCATAAATGATACTCAGACTGTGAATTAGGCATTCAGAAAATTCAGCTGGCGTCAAAATGAAAAGCTGTATTCAAAGTAAGTTTCCATTCCGGGGATGGCAAATCCCTCCTTTTTTCATATCAGAAGTGGTCCAGTACAACCAAGTGACACGATGCCTCCCATCCTCCCTGGGACAGGACACCGTATTGGGGGCCATGCATTGGTCAATGCTCCTGGCACTCTGGGTAAAAAACAGCAGTAGCAGCCACCTGTCACTCGGCAAGCACTGGGATCTTTTTTTTTTTTTTAAGATTTAATTTACTTATTTATTTGACAGAGAGAGATCACAAGTAGGCAGAGAGGCAGGCAGAGAGAGAGAGGAGGAAGCAGGCTCCCCGCTGAGCAGAGAGCCTGATGCAGGGCTCGATCCCAGGACCCTGGGATCATGACCTGAGCCGAAGGCAGAGGCTTAACCCACTGAGCAACCCAGGCGCCCCACCACCGGGGATCTTTGTGGTTGAATCCGTGAAGACCCACCATGCTTGCTAACAATGGTTGCTTTGTCCTGAGCCCGCTGAACAAGAGCTGGAGAAGGCAAAGACGGAACTAACATCTGTAAGACAAGTCACCCTTTACACTTGGTCATGAAGAACTCCGTCTTCAATGAGAGCCCTTTGACGAGCATTTACTTGAGTTGCTAATGTTTCCACATTCCCTGCACATTCTTGGATGTCCTCGTACATAGTCTTCCCCAAGCTTACTTGTCACCTGTTTCCTAATTCTTCTCCTTCCAGGTGCTGATCAACCATCCAAACCATAAGCAAGTTCCCAAGAATTGGTGTAGATCCCACACCTCTTACATTCTCTGTCCAAGAAGAGGATCGTGAGACATGCCACTTAAATATCCGGTCACTGGGATTTCCTCCCCACCACCCCGAAGAGCATCTCCAAGCACTAAAATCCTGTCACTTCTGACTAATGCCAGAAGGTCATAGAGCACCATCTATAAACTAAGTTCATTGTTTTTCACTCAGGTAACTCAACATAATGTCACAGACACGGATTGAGAAAGGGACGGATGGCAATGAGCTTATTAGCTCATTCAGGGCTTGCCGGGTCCCATATAATCCCTTCAGTTTAATGCTGGAGAACGGTAATGATTTTGAGACTTAGAAGATCAGAAAAAACTTATTTTATGATGTGCCTCTCAAATCTCCTAATAGGTACCGGGTATTTCCTAACCTGATAGTTAGCCAAGAATTACTCTCAAAGGAATATTTCCTTCCTGAAGAGAGCACAGTTTTGCTCCCAAAGCCTGGGGGCAGGCACCAGGATTCCCCTCCGGGAGCCAACCACAGGCTTCCCGGCAGCCCAGTCAGATGCTGACACTCCCAGCACCGCCAGGTCCACCAGGATGCTGGCGAAAGTCTGTGCGGAGCTCACCCAGCAAACCGAAGGATCTGCTTTGATTCTGGGCCACAAAGTTACCAGCCTTTGAA